CCAAAAGTTTCATTTTCCTTTCATCAGCCTTTGTCTAGTGGGTGCAATGTCATCAAAACAGGATTCTCTGACAATACAGTCACCAGAATTGACAGAGAACATGTTCTCTAAAGGAACACAGGCTGTCATACCTTCTGCTTGGGGAGACTGAGGCAGAGGATGCAAATGAAAGAAAGGCTACTTCTAGAGAAGTGTCATTTACCTACTCTGATAAAAACCTTGGGTTTGCACAGAAGGGAGGCTGATCTGTGTTTCTCAGACCTTTCTCTACACAGTTGTTCTCTATGGTGTTACATTGTGACTCTTAGCTTATTGCCATATTCAGCAGTATACTCCCACTTTTGCTGCATATCCACCTGTTAATCTTATTTTGGATTCTTCCCAGGCAACAGAGTTTGAAAAACACTCACTTTATTATTTGCAGTGGGATTCAACTCCTATAGTTCCAGCTATATAGAAGTTAGGTATCTCATTTAAGCTACCTATCTAGGTGTCCTCTGTAAGCAGTACAAAGAAGCAGGCTCCTCTAGGAGGCAACTCATCCTGGCTGAAAATGTCTCAGGCTTGTGGGATGAACTGTCCACCGGAAGTGCCTTGTTGGAGAGACTTTTTTCACTTGTTCACTTCTTCATGTAAGGCTTTAGAAATCAGTAACAGCAGTGATAGTGAGCTGCACGGCACAAAATGTGTACCAATGCACCATAAAGTTCAGTGCACAAGTCTTGTATCACAGCAACTGCAGCAAGTATTGCCTTTGTTTTGTGAAAGGTAGAAAATCACATTAGTAAGCCAGCTCAGTGACAAGATAAACATATTTCAGAGGGCAGGAGTTTATCACAGTGCTGCACTTTCCACCTTTGAGTACAATGACCGCAAATAAATTTGACTTCTGCAACGTTGCCAGGTAATACACTTGCGTGACTTAATAATAAAATTTAATATCTAAGCAATTATAATATTACATTATGAATGCCCACATTCAACTAAAAACAATCTCTAGAGCACTACTAATTTTTATTTTCTGTATTTTTCACTGGTGAGTGTTATAAGGAATTTCATTGATGCTAAAAGCCATTATTCAATTGCTATGTGCCACATGGGAATATACTTTGTATAATAGTGTTAAGATTGAGAATCTTAAATGTGAATAAAAACATAAATAATATTAAACATGGTAAGGTTTTAGAAAAGATAATATGCCCTCATTAAAATATATTTTTAAAAATGAAAAAAAAAAATCGTAAGCCAAATCCAAATTGAGATCTATTGAGTTTAAGGAACATGAACTTTCCATGTATGCCATTCATGTTGGTTAATACTTGACCATCAGTTTTCTGAGTCTACCCTCAGAAGAGCCTCGGGACCAAGATCAAGGCTTAATTTTGTTTCTCCATGTTTGTTTGTTATTTTATTTTACTTTAATATTTGTTAAATCATTTCATGGTCATTTTTCTCTGTAAGAAGATTCACATTTTCTAAATTCTGCAATAGTTCACCTGATTCACAGAACATAAACATGCTCTTTACAGCTGAAGTTTTCAGGCAAAAATGACTATGATCATGTTTCCTTTCTCTGTGGTGTTTCACACTCATCATACCTCACTCACCAGTGGATTAATAATGGGTTCTGGGAACACTCATGGCCATCTTGTAAGATATATAAAAGATTATTTTGACACCTCCACTACTGACCTTTCAGAGTCATCTCTGTAATTTGTCTGGAATTTTTTTACTCTTATGAGTACTCAAGATGTTTTCTAAATCTGGGAGCTTTCACACCCCCAAATTTCTGCTAATATTCAGTACGCTTGTAAGAAACCAGGAATATTCAAAACCTCTTTCTTTCCTGTATGGTAATTTTCTAAGGACTAATAGAAAAATGATTCTTACTTGATGGAATGTCTTGTACCAACCTTTTGAAAATACATAGTAAAATTTGAAAACTCCAACAAAACAGCCACAAAACTCCAACAAATCAGCCACACTTTTAGCAATGAAGATCAATGTTCTGTGCTTATTTTAGTGCCTTGTCCAGAGTTGTTTTAACTTGTTCATGCAGCTAAATCTTTTATCTTTCAGCACTTACTGTTTCCACCTTTGCAGCCCTCTTTCCCCATGACTAGCTAGTATAGTTGTTATCAGATGAGTCAGTATAATTTTTGGATAATAAAGATGCCTTATTTATAATTTGGAAAAAAATATTGATGATTCATCCTTTATACTAGCAAATATATGACAAATCTGGTAAAATTAGATGTGCATCACCTTGAAATTGAAAACCTATTATTGGTAGCCTGCAGCAAATTCTCACTCTAATTTTTGTTTCTCCTACACCTTATGAAAACAATATTCATTGTCAAACTGTACCTAAGGGACTTAATATAGGTTTTAATATACTGGCTAAGATTAATCTTTCATTTTCATTTTATCTTTCACTTACTTTTCTCTTTTTTTTTTCATTAATCCTACAGAGTTTATGACAAGTTTAAAAGAAAATGTCAGCAAATGCAGTTCAGCTATCTAGGAGAGTGAGGCTAAGAGAAAAATAACTTGTTTTGCCAAGTTCTGGCAATCTGTTCTACGAGAAACCCCTGGATCCCAAGAAGAACTTGAGAAGAACCTTGAAATTTAGCACTGTAATCTACATATTACAGATGTGCATCTTGTTGTTTCTAAAAGAAGTCCCCTCAAATCTGGATAATTTATAGGTATCTTCAAAAATGCTGTTTGCACATGCCTGGCAGTGCCTTCTTATTTTTTTTTCCCCAGCTAACTGGCCAAAGGTTCCTCCCTATGCAGCAGCTCAGCACAGTCGGCTGTGTGCTGCCTACTTCTGGGTTGAAATCAGCAAACAGAGAGCAAGCAAACAGCCCAGCAGTCACTACTCTCATTGTGAATGTACATAACAACACAGTTTTTGATAACACAGCCACATATTAATTTTCCTCTAGAAACGCTTCATTAATTTAATGCTTACAAGAGGTCTGCTCTAGGGATGAATCTGAATTTTGCATTAAAGCAAGCCACCTTCTGTCATTTTTCAAATAAGTTGAAAGTTTTCTGTAACAATAGAGACTATGTGAAGCATGATTGAAGCCCCTGGTGTACCAGACTCCCTGCAACCTACAAGACATTAGGTGACTGCTTTAACCAATATTTTTAACAAGTCGGACACCAATAAAGTGCTTCTAATTTTCCTTAGAGCTTAGCATCTGACTTGCAAAGACGTAATGCATGCAAATGTGTGCTTTGAACCTATAGTATGCTGCAGGGGTATCTTAAAATTTAGGTTACCAGCAACTCAAACTGCGTGTCAAAAAACAGCAGCTATATTTGGCATTTCTATTGCTCTACCTCAGCTTTCCATCTGTAAAATGGAAACAATGCATGCAAAAATGATAACTGATAACTGTGGATACTCAGACACTACACTAAAAAGCACCTTAAAAGAGCCCTTTACTTTCTCTTTAGAAAAATGTTCAAATAGTGTATGATAATAAAATAAGAGCAACATGAGGAGGAGCACAGAACACATAAAATGCTAAACTTTGTCAAAACTGAACACGCTCAGTTTACACATTATATAAAATAAGGACTCTAGAGTCTGGGGGAAGCTGTTGACCAAACCATGATTGCCTGAAAATGCATGTACATAAGAAAACTCAACTAAGGTTACACAGGCTCCCTCACCTTGAGAGCTAGAAAAACTAGAGCTAGAAAAAATAAGCTAAAAAGCTTTTTTTAAAAAGCTAGATTCCCTTTTCACAAGGAGCCACATGGAAAAGACACGGGGTAATGGACACAAGTTGCTTCTGGAGAGATTCTGACTGAACTCCAGAAGAAATTTTTTTCTAACCTCCCAGGGGAAGTGGTGAATTCCCCTACATTAGTGCGTTTTAAGAGTCAGCTTGACAGTGTGCTGACTCATCTCATATAAACCTTAAAAGGTTGGATTAGATGATCCTTGTGGTCCTTTCCAACCTGGTATTCTATGATTTTATGATTCTATGCAAAAGCATGCCCAACCATGTGACAGGCACCTTTCATGTTCAGCTAGATTTATGGCCACTGTGCTACAGTCTTTATTCAGAAACACACCTCACGCTCTTTGAGTTTCCCCAGGCTCTTTGCAGTAACATTACCAATATTTTTTTCTGCTCAGGGGATCTGTATTTTTCTTTGATGCAGTAGGTGTGCCTATGAGATTATTTGCACTAGCTAAAACTCATCCTCTAATTCTAACCTGCATCTTACAAAACTGAAGAGTTCTTGCCCATTTTGAAGCAAGAAATAACACTTCTGCTGGAAAATACAATCACTTCCACATTGTCCCTAATTGTCAAAGGTGGCTATGAGCATTGTACAAATTTTAGTGCTCTACGAATTGTTCCAGATGCTTCAAATGAAGTTCGAACTGCTTGATCATATAAAATACTCCATGAAGTTGAGGTATCCACCACTTGTTATCTACACAATTGGTTTGTCTCCACTATCACTCTTTGTCTTGTTTTCACTAGT